CGATTAGTAGTTCGATTGAACCACTACAAAAAATATAATTACAATTCACTAGTATATAGGGCATGTTAAACTCGATTCTGAGGAGGAGTAGATGAAGGTTGACACTGTCGTTAACAACTCTCTCCACATTGATGACCTTCGGACGTGATGTGAACACGCCTACCTTGACAGAAACGCCCACTAAAATTTGAACCCGCTTACTTCGATGAATGGTCCACATTGAACAGTTGACTTGTGACTGCGACATCCTCACGCTGTTGCTTCTTAGTCTCGATTACTCACAAAGTACAATGTATACACACTCGATTGCTAAAGGCAACACTGGAGCGACCACAACCGTGATCTTAATACAGCTTTCACGATCAGCACTCAAAAAGTACAATACAGCTCTCCTGGCTTCTCACAAAACAGCAATGAATCAACTATAGTGCCGCATCCGGACCGCGAAGCCTTTTTTTGTGGTCCGCGAACTAAACTATATTAGTTGTCATTTTTTGCGGACAATTTTCGTAAAGAAACAATATGGGTTTAAAATACTTTTCTCGTTGATAAAAACCTAATTTCTTCGTATCTGTGAAATTTACCAACGGTGCAAAAAAAATTATTTCTCAGGTTTTGCACCCAGGAAAATATTTATTCAAATGCAAAAATAATCGTGTATGTAGCTCTATTTTATTTCATTTTTTTGTATTTTGTGAATATAATTTAGCATGTGCGTATCAGAAATTTTCTCCTAGAAATTATCCGATTTAACTTTTTGAAACCACTCACTCATTTTGGACGAAAATATTTACACACACATTTGTAAATTTTAAATGTAAATATCTATTCTCTGGTGGTTGTAGCAGACAAATCTCAATTTTCTATTGAATATTCTGCGTGCTACTATGTAAGTTTTAATACCAACCTTTTTAAAGTTTCATATCTTTACAATTAGATATCTGTTGCACATTATTTGTTTAATACATAGGTGCACGTTAAAGTTATTGTAGCCCGAATTTTTATTATTTATTTAATATTTTTAAAAATATTATTAATAACAATTAATTATTTTTAAAAATCTACTTCTTATTTTAATTTGTAATTCAATACTTTTGTTTTGTACAACTTATTAAAAATCTGACAGTAAAATTTAATGTTCTTTCAAACATAAAAAAGTCCTTCATGAAATTTTGATAAAGTTGTGGCCCGCCATTTGATTTGTGTTTTTAATTGTGGCCCGCGGCCTCTTGTAAGTTGGAAACCCCTGAACTAGTGGTATCCCATTCATCGAATTCTATCACAGATATAATTCTGGTGGGGGAGTACTTAAGTGTTTCTGCCACTGCAAAAAGTATAATTTCAATTCACTAGTATATAAGGCATATTAACTCGATTCTGGGTGGGGCACCTTTTCATAGATGAAGGTAGAAATTGCAGCTAGCTGCTCTCTCCTCACAGAGCTAACCCACATTTGCATTACATGGAGGGAAAAAAAACACGAAAATATCTTACTGTTAGCCAGGCGTCAAGGGAATTCTACCCGTGATCCGTCTACCACAGAGGATATTTTAAGTCAGCGCAGCTAATCAGTTAGAGGTTCAGATGTAAGCTAATTCAATTTTTTGAAAGCCACCGATGCAGTACTTTACGAAAATTGGAGAAATCTCCACTATTTCTAATCAGTATCACATTTTTAGGCGTATTTTTGTAAGACCACGTAGTTCAGGGTAATTAGAATAGACGTCGTTCCTTTATCAATTTCCCTGATTTCAGGTTGTTTGAAATAAGCGCGTAGACTTATTTAATTTTATTTTATAACCGTCGTTGAACAGCCAACCCAATTTTTGGGTTTACGACTAATAATGTTAAACTTCTTAGCCTTGTTATTTTGAAACCAATCCAGAAGACAAGAGAACTCTTGAATCAAGTATTGGGAGAAATTTGCCTTCGGGGAGAACTTTTTGATGAAAATCAGCATCTGCCTTACATGGAAAGGAAGACCATGAGAACCTCAAACCACGAGAAACCTTGCGTACGTTCCAATTAGCTCATGTCATCAAATGAGCTCAGATAAAAAAGTATCAGTAACGCTTATTGTTATTTAAAAACATTATTATAACTAAAATATTTAATAATTCTAACTAAAATGATTAAAACTATTATTTAGTTATTGCAAACTAATCAGTGAATCAATAAAATCATAGTTATTTTTATTCAAGCTCAATAAACTCATGAGTTTGAAAAAAGAAAAGATCTAATTTGTTGAGTTAGACTTCAAATGAAGAATAAATTAATTTAAAGCAGGAAACATTAAAAAAAAATCAATCATTCAAAACTATTTTTGAAAAAACAAATCTTTCCTCATTATTTAAATAATACAAACTGGACATTTAATTCAAAAGTGCTTGTATTAAACTTAAATGAACATAAAACTAAACGAATATAATTAAAATATGCATATTAAAAAACTATTTTATATACAACAAATGGGTAATTATAATTTCAAAGTTTCACGTTGCGATTATTCACATTTGGTCTTTCTTTTTCTATTTATAAGTCTATTTCATATTTAGTATAAGGCAATATATTAAATCCATTATTTCTCTGAAAGGCATATTAGGCATTATTTCTATATTTTAAAAAAAATTCCACATCAGAATTTTTTTTTAAAAAAAGTGGACTAATATGAATGATTTTTTGAAAAAAAATCAGCCGATTAAAATTAATAACTTTTTTAAAAAGAAAATAACCCTGTGCATATAGCGTCAGTTATTGAGTAACATAAAATAGAATTTTCAAGTTCAAGCATTTCAATACAAATTTTTAAAGCAGATAAAGATGTTCTAATTTATTTCATGATATGTTCGATACATGACTATGACTGATGATGACTTGGAGAGGAGAAATAGCAAAATTCTGAAAAATTCGCTGGGTGACCTTCTGAATGGCAATTTTTAACTATAGTAATTGTTAGGATACTTTGTCTCGAACATTGCCCAATAAAAATAAGTCACAAGGATTAATGTCAGGCGAAATGGGTGGCTTTAATGACTGACATCAGTTTAGAAACGCTATATTTCGACATTTTCCCGGAAAACTGTACAGGTAGGTTCAAAGCATTCAGAAAAGCAAAACTCTGACCCTTTCCTAATTTTTAAACATATTTATTCAATTTCCCTGATTTTTGTAAACGGTGACATTAATTCAGTTATGCCGCTTCACCCATATTCGGATGAAGCTTATTTGACTACTTGTGAAGGATATTCGTATGTATTCGAAAAGATATTTCACAAGCAGTAACAAAACTATTGTTATAAAAGTAATACAAAAATGATTTATTAAAAAAATTATTGTGGCCCTCGTAAAAGCTTTTTGTTTACGGCTATTTGACTCACTAAGTTTTCGATTCTTCTTCTTGAAATTTCAACAAATTGGGGGTAAAGATTTTCAGTTACTCGGAAAGATTCAAATGGATCGTATAAAGTGGCTAGATGAGAAACAGATGCGAAGCAACGGACGCAAATAAACAGACATGACAGACCATGAAAACAACAGGAGGGAGTACTTACTAGTAGCAGAATACGGCCTGAAGATTTCACTGCGTGCGGCAGTCAACGTGTAAAATATAAAATTTATTACAAGAAACAAATACTTGCTATTAGAATTTTTTTTAATTTTTTTTTATTTCCAATGAGCAGACCTAGTGCGTTCTCCAGAGGTGGTATCCACTCTTTCAGGACCACCACAATGGGTGAGATACCGTTGGTCATGTTAATTTGGACGTCTAGTTTCTGCCACACTAGATGGCAGCACCGAGACTCTTTTTTAATGCTAAAGTGCACTAGGAATTTAATTTTGCCAGAAATGCCAAGAGCCAATAAAGCACTCCAAGGATCTTTTACATGCCGCATAATCATACGACATGGCAGCTGAGGAATTTCTGCATCCCGAAAATCCGGTGTCTGGGCCGGGGATCGAACCCGCAGACTTGGGCTCAGAAGGCCGACGACAAACCAACTGAGCCACCCAGCCACGCTATTAGAATTGAAAATAAACAATTTCTTTAACAAAAAGAATTGTTACAACAGTATATAATTATTACATATAGAATTCCTGGCTCTTTAAACTTAAATTAATTCATTTTCCTCGACTTTTTGTGTATTTTAATAAAATTCCCTGACTTCTTCCTATTTTCCGTGTTCTGTGAACATGTGAGCTACCAAGGTTTAAATGAATCTCGCCAATGGTTTAAAAATTATCAAGGTTTTCTTTTTCTTTACATAACTACAAAATTTTTTTTTTTAAAAAATATGGTCTGTAGCTGAAACAATTACTCACATTGATATATTTCAATAGATTTTTTTTATTGAAAACGATAAACAGCCATTACTCTCTTTACTTTTGTACCTCTGATGGAATCAGATTGATGGAAACCGTGATTTAATCAAGCTGATTTAAAATCAACAAACCCTACCCCGAATTCTTAAAAATAAGACTACTTTGCAGTCACATGAAAACACAATTGCTTAACGGAACAGCATACACGAAATTGTGTTTTCTTTCCCCATGGCAAACTCGTTTCTGATGACACCGTAATGTACACTAAATGGTGCCCAACATAAAATGATAATTTATCTTGGGCATCATTTAGTGTCGGAAATAATATTTGTAGACATTGCATGCGAAAAAACATTACCCTGATTGGGGGAAGTAAGCTTATCAGTTCGCATGTATTATAGTTTGTCCGCGGTAAGAACTCCCCCCGCTACTAAGTCTGAGGTCGTCCGCTGTTATGGAAACAAGAATAGCGCATTTCAGGAAGGGTGGCTTCTCTGCTCTCCACAGTTAACACAGTAGACCGCAGATTCCCTTTCTATCGCCGACTCGAGCCCGTCCTAAGCAATGATCCCACATCCCTATTTGAAAGAGTCCATAGTCACCATCACGGCTCCAGACGAATGGTTAGGGGAGTTCTTACTTTAGACAAACTATAGTTGCATTTGAGAAGAAAAACTCACCCTCATCCACATCGTTCCTGGCCGCTGCCTCGAGCAACATAACACTGGGCACGAAATGGACCTTGTAATCATTTTTTCGCACCACCGTCTTTGCTGTCCTTTTTTTATTGCTTTCTTTCTCTCGCTGGCTCCACTTCTTCAGCTGTTGCAGGCGTCTTCGCTTAGCCAGCTTCAATCGCTCCTGCGTGCTCATTTTATCAATTTGACTCATCTCCACAATCAGCTCGGAATGCTCGGCCATGGTCATTCAACTAAGAGGGTTCGTTCATGTAAACAGCTTAAAAAAAAATAATCAGGAACACTAACACACGTTGTCACAGTTAAACGATCAGCAAGTCACATTTTCAAACGAAAATTGCATTTGCAGTCACTTTTTTAGGAACATTGATAAGTCGAACAAACAGGATGGATTTAACTACACATATTTCGATCCGTTCAGTTCGCAAACTATCCAAAAACATGTTTGACACATCGCTTCTAAAAGATCAACAACAAAATCATTTTAGAAAATACCAGCTCAGAAAGAAAAAAAAATCTTCCTACAACTGAATGTTCTCGGTGAACCAGTAAAGGACGGAATGATCTCACGTTGGATGTTCAGCCGGAAAAGACAAATATTGGACTTTCTCGTATAAAGATCCAATAAATCAGCTGACAGAGGTGTGACATGGGTGACACGAAATAATAGTAAAAAGACTTTTCTTCGGCTGTCTTCGCAAAGGTCGCTGGATGGAATGTTTCGGACGGAACAGTTGAGAGAGGGCTTACTTCATGTGTTGCCATGACAACGGGAGGCGTAAGAGCGAAGAGTCCAAGTTAGGCCTTTCATCATCAAATCCTGCAAGAGATAAAAAGAACTATAAAACTTTATGCGTTGTGCATCTTAAAAAAATGCTCTGCCCTGTTTTTGAGGACGAGTTTCTTAATTAACCAGGGATTCGGGGAATATCAAAAGGTTTTCAACAAATTACCGTCCTTCACACCTACTAAAAATAATTGAAACACTCCTTCGTGTCGAGCATTGATGTTTAAGAAGGGGGAGTTCCCGTCTGAGATTCTTATACTGTTGAAATTGTCATCATTTTAAAGAATACATTAAATGGAACGCAAAATTATAATAATTCGTTAAAAGATGCAAATTCCTCAAATAAATTTCTTGCGCACTAGAGACCAAAGAAAATAAATTTCTTGGTTTTTACATTGTATTCATTTAGGACAAGGTTGCTCAACATACTGCTCACAGGAATAGCAAAACATTTATACATGTTTTAGTAAATGAGTAATAATTTAGTATAATTGAAAATAATGACAAATCAATGTTTTTTCAAAAATAAATAAATAAATAAATAAAATAAAAAATTAAACCCAGTAACTATGAGAACAACTTATACTAGTTGGCCAAAACAAAACGAACAATAATTCATTCGGCACCTTTTTAAACTTTTTAGGGTTTCTGCCCATCAAGGTCCACCACTTAGAGCGAATTATCCTAAATTATTATTATATTTTAGATCCACGTTGAATGTATCAGTTAAAATTCTGGTTCAATCTACTTTTTTTCTTTTCTTTTATAGTCTGTTTTCGTTGTAGTCTGTTGCCACCCTATAGTAAATCCATCATAATAAGCAACATAAAAGAATGGTTCTATTTAATTTTGCGTTTGAATGGCAAGAATCCTTTTCTTTCAACTACAGTTGAAAAATTCGTTCATTCAGAACGGTAAATATTGTTACAAATTTGTAGAATTTGGTAAACATGTGATGAGGCTTCAGACCGAAAATGTGCTAGAAAGTCACGGAATTTAGAGAGAAAATAACGTCAAATGTATGTCTAAATGTTATAAAATATTTTATGGAGAACTCAATTTCACGTAGACTTTTTTGCCGATACTTGGCGACCGTTTTGCAATAAAATGATTGTTCTGGAAACTTCGAGTTTTAAAGTGATAGGATCAAATATTTAAAAAGTTATGCGAGAATCGTATCGGCAGTTCCAGATTTTCGTCGCCAAGCCTATATATAAATAGGTCGTAGCATGCTCGTAACTGTAAGTTGTGTTCTGTGACCCGAGCTATATCATTGAAGAGTTTTGTTCAATTGGGTATAATATAAAAAAAACACAACTACTTCCACTTAGTAGGAATAACATTTACCATGACGCAATGCTAAATTCTATGTCACTATCCACATAAATGCCACTATCCACATAAATCAATTATTAATCAAAAATCGAATATCAATTACTTTTCTTTATAATGCAATAAAATCTGGCGAGCAGCTATTTAAACGATCAAACACTTCGTTTGTTTATTTGTGGCTTGAAGTTAGGCTCGCAGAAAGTGCCGTTCATGGGTTAAATTTAGTAGGTATAAAACAACCTGTGACGTAGGCTATAGTATACCCAATTACGCTGCTATTTGAGCTGTATTTGAATACTAGAAATAACTGTATTTTAAAGAAGTTTTGAAGGCCTGTTTCAATCACCCCCCATCGAAACGCTCCCTTGTGCTCGGTATAATATCTAAGCTTTAAACTGACTGTTTCTGCAAATAAAGCATTTGTGGCGTTTTCTCTGGAGAAAAAAAAAACAAATTTTTCTTAAACCTTATTTCTTATGGGGAAAAAATGCGTAATTTGTTAACTTAAGTTTAAATTAAGACTTTCAAAAAAACATTTTTGCTGTTAGCTCAAACAATAGTGAACCGAATCAAGTGAACAGAGGGCTCACTAAGACAATGCCCTTGCGTGTGAATGATTATGAATTCGAAGCTGTTGATGAATTTAAATATCTTGGGACTACTATAACCTGCAAAAATGACATAAAAACTGAGATCGGTAGTCGTTTAGCAATGGCAAACAAGTGCTACTTTGGTTTAAAAAGTCAACTAAAAAGTAAATTTCTTAAACAAAAGACAAAAATTAACATATACAAAACACTCCAGTGATCCTATATGGTAGTGAGTGCTGGACTCTTAATCAAAAATAGGAGAACAAATTGCCGATTTTTAAGCGAGGGATACATAGAAGAATTTTTGGTGCAGTCTATGAGAATGACAAATGGCGTACCCTTTACAATCATGAGTTACATAAAAAGTATAAACCACCAGACATAGTTCATGTTAGTAAAGCCAATCGCAGTCGATGGCTGGGATACTTTTGTAGATCTGAAGACCCCAACCCCGCAAAAAAAAAGTAACTTTTTTTTTTAAACCAGAAGGTATAAGAAAAAGGTGTCGTCCACCGACTAGGTGGCTGGACGCAGTTGAGAAGGACCTTAAGATAATAGGAATAACTAACTGGAAGGCCATGGCACAGAATAGATCAAGATGGCAAAAACTTATTGGGACGGCCTTGGTCTGTCATAGGCTGTAGTGCCCAAAAAGAAGAAGAATCAAGTGAAATTTGGAAACAATAATTTTAATTTATTATCACATCAATTTTAAGTAAAACTATGATAACAAATCAGTAGTGGCATCAACGATATTAAATTAATGAAGTTACAGCGGGATTATCTAAGGAAGATGTAGCAAAATGGCACTTGTAGACATAGGTGTAGTGTGAGGGGGTGGGGGCACACTAATTGTTCTTATAAAACTGTTCGTCTATTCTAAGTTTTAAACACACATTTATAGACAGACATTAATATTAAAAAAATATGCCTATATAAAACTTGAAATAAACAGTTTTCTAAAAACAAAAAGTGTCCCCCCCTCATGTTACGCCTATGCATGTGCAGTGCTTAATAAAGAGTATGACGCTTCCTGAGAGATCTGCACGTTTTACAACGAATTCTCATGCTGTTTAAGAGGCTTACTAATGGTTTGGGGCAATACACCTAAGATCTTGGAACACTCGTCCATTAAGACAATCCCTGGGATGTTTGTGGGAGGCTCTGCCAAGTTCTTTCCAAAATTGTTTAGATGCTCTGCCAAGAGCTTTCAAGACATGATCGATAGGATTGATTTTCGATTGTACAGAAATCTGGGAGATCACCTCATCATCAGCTTAGAGGTCCATGTTATCACGCTACATGTTTGAATCAGATTGGCAACATGGAAAATCGTCATCAATGTACAGTAGTAGGTGATTCTTTCTACAACATTCTTTTCTAGAACTCATTGTGATGTTTCAAAAACAATTTTCAAAGGTACTTTTTGTTGTAAACAATGATTGCATTTGAATTTCTATAAAGCAATAAAGAAAGGATTGTCCGTACACGTTAGTTAACAAAATATATGCTAGAACAACTTTTTTTGGTTGCATAATAACGAATGAATGCAACCAACAAAAATGGTATTAACGACATTACATTTGTATCAACACTTTTATTTTAAGTACTATAATCATAAGTACTAATGTCAGCAAAGAAATATGAAGCACTCATAAACATTACAGTAGTATATGCAAACGCATTATTATCAAAATTATTAAGTATGTGCTTCAACTTTCAACAGGCTATAAAGTTTTACAATAACTTTTATTGTGCGTAGCGATTTTGGTTTTTTTTTAAATTTTAATGAGCATGACAACAAGAGAATAAAAAAAGAGCAAGCTATCTTTGGTTCCTTTCATAGATTTCTAATTTATTTTTATTTATATAGCTAGCCGTCTGCGGCGCCCAGCTGGTCAGCTTACACGTCAAACAACGCTTTGAGCCTGTCTTGGTAAAAACATGTTTTGCGGACAATTAGGTTAATTACTCCAATAATAACAAAATATCGAACTCTTTTAGTGTTTATACATATATGAAAGGGTGGCAGTCATGGTGAATGCTGTTGGGCCACGTAGATAGATTGATCGCCAGATCGTACTCGCCAGATTTTATTGCATTATAAAGAAAAGTAATTGATATTCGATTTTTGATTAATAATCATGTTTTGAGCTTCTAGCTGTANGCATAGAATTTAGCATTGCGTCATGGTATATGTTATTCCTACTAAGTGGAAGTAGTTGTGTTTTTTTCACATTATACCCAATTGGGTATAATATGGAAAAAACACAACTACTTCGATTTAGTAGGAGCAACATATGACGCAATGCTAANGTCATGGTAAATGTTATTCCTACTAAGTGGAAGGAGTTGTGTTTTTTTTTATATTATACCCAATTGTCTAAAGTTTATTTTAAAACAATGGCTACCGCTAAACCAATGAGAAAATTCCATTTTTAAAATGTTTTTGAATCAAAAATCTAATTGAAAAATTGAAAATCGGGCTTCGAAGTTTGTTTACAATAGAACTTATTTAGCTTCATGCTGTATGCCGTACTTTTACCCGTCATCCGATTAACAGACACACAAACAAATTCTTTATTTCATTATATATATAAATTAAATTTGAGTGATAGTATTTAAGGTTTGTGAATTAAAATTGATTTTCCATTTAGTGCCATTTAATGCATCCACTCGGAATGTTGGCGATTTTTGCCAAAATTTAAGGAGTGCTCGGAATTTTACAGCATTTTATATTGGTTTACTATAATTAAAGTTTTTCCGGAAAAATGTGTTTGCTTTTCAACTTTTAGCCATTTATTTTCTTTTTAAATAAAAAATCGTTACCTTTACTATTCAATTGAGTTATGTTTGGTTATTTGTTTGGTTGTATTGAATCTTCAAAATTTTCTAGGAAGCATAATTTTTGCTTATTAAAATGAAAATTTATAAAATTATGCTATTAAAAAATGCACCAGCTGTACTATGAACGTTATTGTTACATTGTTATAGTGAAGAAACTTTAGAAAAGCTCTGGGGAAAAGAAGCAAGAATAATTTAAAAACTTTGTTTTTTTTATTTGCTTGTATTATTTTAAAAAAAAAATATTCTAGATATGATGGCGTTCCTAAACAATTAATTTTATTAAGATTTTA